TTCCAGTAGCACCATGTTTTCCCCTTTTGGTGGGGACTAGAATAGCGTGAATCATTTGCGTCCTTTTTATCTGTGGAAAATAACGTCAATTAATATTGCGATATAAATATATTAATATACTATTTAATTGTGAATGTTTTAAAACATCTTTTAAGGTAGTGTAATTATTGCCTTTTTACCTTCGCTTTGTTGAGGGAATGTTTTTAGTAAGATAAAACTCTGGACTTCCTTTTAACGAAATGAGAGAAAAAATTGCCACAATCTAAGAATTTATTCAATAAATGCATTAAATAAAACAAAATTAATGTATAAAAAATATTACCAATTTGTCTTCACAATTCTGCTTAAGAATGGGCAATTCCTCCTAAGCTAAGTGTAGCTACACTTGTATCGTCCTAGAAAAAGAAACTTTTGCGCCAATCAAAAGTAAGATCAAATTTTGCGTTTGCAAGGCTAAGCTTCACCTCTTTACTATTGAACATCAGCCATATTACCTGAAAATGTATTTGGGAAATTATTTTTAACCTTTGAAGTGGGGCGTAATTTACCAGTTGATAACTTTTTCTCCTTAGCCTTCAAATGATAAATTTTGCCATATGCAGCAGACCTTCTGGCTTTTTTTCCGATGTTAAGATCTATCATGTCTTTCCACAATTAGCTCTAGATTAATTTAATTAGTAATTAAATTAAATTACTTATGAAATTAGTAACGTTTTTAGTAACTTACCAGCGAAAAAAAAGAAAAGGCTTCTCAGTTTATCTTTTTCAGCAAGGAATCAATTAGCACTTTTTAAATAAACTTTTTAATAAACTTGTAATGTCAACATCTTAGAGATAGTTTAAATATCGTTACATTATTTCTTAACATGATTTTTTGTATTTAACATGTTAAAACTTTATACATAAAATATAATATAGATCAGTCTGCATTTATCTGCCCGTGCTCTGCCACACACACAGTATAAGTGTGTGAAACGTCATGACGCGTCATGCTTAGAGCCTACTTTCTGCTTTCTGCTATACTAATACTAATGCGTTAAAATCATATCAATGTATTGGGTGCCGACCACGGACAGAGATAAAATATAAAAAAAATTATATATTAAAAAAAATATTTATATTTTCTAGGGTTACCTAAATTAAAGGGTAACACTGTGCATTTTTAGAAAGGAATTTCTATATTATAGAAACAGTTTTCTATTTTTTAGGGTTAGTAACTTTTTTAGAAAGAAATTTCTATATTGTAGAAACAGTTTTCTATTTTTTAGGGTTAGTATCTTTTTAAGAAAAGGATTTCTATATTGTAGAAACAGTTTTCTATTTTTTAGGGTTAGTAAATTTTATGGTGAGCCTTTCTATTATTAAGAAAATATTTCCTGAAAATAAGTCATAATTTGCCTTAATTATAGAAAAGTTTTCTTGATTTTAGGGCGATTTTAGTTTATGGCGACTATTTCTATATTTGAGAAAAACTTCTTTGATTTAAGAAATTTTTCTTGTTTTCAGAAAATTTTTTCTAGAAACTAGAAATTTTTTCTTGTATTTAGAAACAATTAAGTTTTATGGCGAATTTCTAAATTTAAGGGTAAATTTTATTTTGAGTGTGGGGATGTTTACTGCTTTTGTAACCTGTTGTTATGGCCGCCCATTTGAGCCCAAAATTGGTCAAGCGAGTAATTATCTCAATTGTCGTTTGCCATTTACGGTCACTTGGCTTTTAAGGTGTTAACAAGGCGGAAAGTGTGTATTAGGGATGTGAGAGGGATTTAAAGTAAAAATATTTGAAAAATCAACAAAAGTCACAAACAGATCGGTGCGAGTAAGAAGGTCAAGCCACTTGACGATGAGCTTCCTTGCTTGTTTTGTTTTCTTGAAAAAACAAAAACTTCTTGTGGTTTGCTTGCACTTCTAATTCACAGCCTCACAGCCATTTATTTTTGCTCCAAAAATCCTAAAGAATATAAAAGGAAGCCAGAGTAAAGAAATTTTCACAGACTCTGCCAAGTTGTACGCTTTTCTTTGCAAACATGCAAACCTCTTAAATTCTTTTCAATAATCTCAATAAATGTGTGTGCAAAATTTTCATAAACATATAAATAAGGCTGTGACACGCCCAACACTTGGCTCGATAGGCAAAGAATAGGATACAAAATATTTTGAATAATCGACAAAATTCTTTTGGCAGTGACTTTCTGACACAGATATCAGGGGTCGTTGGGCCCGAAGGGTGTACTCGGGAAGGTGGGCGATGCCTTACATTTGCATTAAGTAATTGAATTTTGTTTTGCAATTTATTTCTATAAGACCATATGCCAATGCGGTCCGGGCGGTAAAATAAAGTGCTGTGACTTTGCTTGGAAACACTTAAACGGGCATTACTCTTTGAAGTATTTTCAAAGTATACAGGGTAGGGGAATATAATACTATATGTATATAAAATAAAATAATTTTATGAATGTAAAGAGTTAGATTTCCCTAAAAATAATGCTAAAGTGATTTATAAATTGGATGGTTGGATGTATAAGTAGCTTGCTTATTGACAAAGGTATTGTGTTCGTGAGAGGCGCAAAAAATGTAAAAACTTTTAAAAACTGAAAACTGATCCAGTAAGAGAGTGTCATCAGACGAATTTCTTAATTTCCAGGACAAAACATTAGAAAAAATATTTACTTGTAAGTTGATCAAAGAATATTCTACTTTATAATCGAATGTTTAACGACAATGATAGTTTCTTGATTTTGCGGTAAATATAAAATGAATATTATTTAACATATATTAAAACATATCGAATAATTAAAACTACAGGAAAATGCTTTTACATTTAAGGATTCTCGATCGACATCAAAGCATTCCTGTGAATTATATTGTCAACACCGAAAGCCGTTTCCTTTGTTTTATCAGCCATAAGCACGTATGTCAAGAGAAGTATTTGATGCTTCCAGCTTTCGTACTTTATGCGTGGAAGTACAAGGATTGGCAGGACCTTTGCACCCCTTCCACCCAACGCCAATGCATTTTTATGCCCTTCACACATCATTCAGCAACAAATTGCTGCAGGCAAGGAATGCTCACATTGCTAAAGACGCTTGAAATCTATTTGAGAGACAAAAAACACAAAAAGTTGAGGGCGAAGCGAAGGAGGAATGTCAACAGCCAGCGGAAAGTGTCTCGAGACTATGGATTCGTGACCAGGCTGCGTGTCCATTGGAGTCAGCACGTGCCACGGGTTTTATTATCATGAGCTGTAAGCTCTGGCAACTTTTTATTATCTTTTTTGCTCCTCGAAAGCGAACTTTAACACTTTCTGCCCACCACTCGGACGAGGATATCTCCTCTCAGCTAAACTTAAGCCGTAAATAGGACCCAATGAAGTTTAAAGGAGGAGGAGCATTTTTAGCTTGACCTTCTCTTACGATTTTAATGACCCGACCAACAGAAACTTCTTAATCCTGACCATAAAATTCCACATTCGATGCACATTCTTTCTGCAATACTGGGTTGTATGTTCAGGTTTTTCTGGTTGGTTTTATTATTCCGAGTGGAGTATTTTGGAAACTTAAATTCCCCACTGATGGATGTGATAGATCGTCTACTCCCAGAGTCCTTCTTTTCCCTCGTCCTGTATAAATTATATTTTTGTATAAATTTGAGATTTTCAATTATCTGTTGACACTTTCTGGCATTGCGAATGCCAAGCATGAATTAATTTGATTACAAGTTGAAATTTCATATTTGAGGTGCGTGCACTTTCCAATTTTACTTGGGAAACTTCTATATACTTCGTCAGCTAGTAGCCGCCTACCATAGTCACGCCCCCTTATTTTGTTTACAAAAACTTTGCGTCAGGCCTGTAAAAAGTTTCCCTTTGCCACCGTGACGGTCTCCATCGCAGCTCTTGCTTGTCTTGGATGCAATTTGCGGGCAGACAGGGCGAATGAATAATTAAATCTTCACACAGAGACTGTGCAAGTCGGCGGGGAGCTGGGAGTCGAGGGAGAAGTTTCGAGGGAAATTCACATATCCTTGAGCCACACTTTGTTTACGGATAGAGTATTTTCAACTTTGTTCTTTTCTTCAATGCATTCCCTTTTACTCCAGGCCTTTTTTTCAGATGAATATTCCTTCCATCATTTGCATTTCTCATTAAGGCCTCATCAAGGCGATGCGCTGCGACAATATTAAACATTAAACTGAAACACAGCCAGTGGGTCCAGGGACCAAACAATGAAAGTTATTGATTTCTGATTTGGTAATTATCAAGTTTTTGAGTTTAATTTGCAACGCAAATATGATTTCTTGTGATTGCTGGCCAACTAAACTAATTGTTTAGTTGACTTTTGTTGCGGGGCACAATTGTCTGCTTTTGTATGCCAGACAAGCAACATTGAAAATTTACACAACAAAATATACTTTGGAGATAAACGATTTGAGAAAGCGGGGGCCGCTTCATGCAAATAAAGCAGAAAGTACCCCTAACAAGATTTTCCCAGGACAAAGGATAACGAAAAGGGAAAGGAAAAGCAAAAGTGGGAAAGTGGAAAAGCAGTCTACGTGTTTGGCGTCAAAATGGCCGCGTATGGAAAGGCAGAGAAAAAATATTAAGTCTAAGTGCGTCGCCTTTCGTTAATATTAACTTTTCCGCTCAGTTTCCTTCCCTTTTCCTTTTGCTTGATTTTTTTTTATTTTTGTGTTGCAAACTTTTCTTTGGAAAGTTAGGTGCCCCCAAAAAAGCACAGCAACAACAAAAGCAAAGTAGATAACAAAATGGGGCGAGCATAATAAAAATTTCTGTTTATTTTGCCGGTCATGCATAAAATATTAAATTATTAGTTATGAAGTGTAACACACAGCCAGCAACAATTATTGTGGAGGTGTCGGATTTTCCGCCACAGTTTTTGCTTCCATTTGAATACATTTTAAAACATAAATTGTTGGACATGGACAAAAAAAAATTTAAGTAGATTATGTTTGGCTTTTCATTTCCAAAAAGGATGACAATTGGTGGCGTTGCTAATTAATAATGGCGGGCTTCCCATTTGAACGAATGGCACAGGAATAAACTTACATTGCTGCACGGAATAATCAAATTGTTGCTGAAATTACGGCGGAATCGAAAACTTTAAAACCCAAATAATCTTGGATTAATCACTGTAGAGAGATCGGCCTTTAATTACTTCCTGTCCATTTGCCAATTAACTCGTTTCCCAATAATACAAAGAAAAAGATAGCTCAACTGCTCAGTATCTATGGCGAAAGTTTCAAGGCAGGAGGGAAGGATTCAGGAACAGGATGCAGAATGCCTCCTCAAGTTTCCTTTCCTTGCCGCAAACATGCGGCCACAAGGAAAACCCAATCCTTATCTTTGGAGCGTCTTCGGCATGCCACAAGGGGGCAACCAGGGGGCAGAGCGAGGGAAAAATGAAAAATTGCGCCAAGAGACAACTAAGACTCGGGTTCAACTAATGGTATTATAAAAAGGAGAAGAATGGAAGCCAAAGGACAGAGCCCACAAATTGATTAAGTGCCAGAAAAGATATAGCGACGTTTGTATTTCGACGTTGCCTTTCTTTAGTATCAAAATTAACCCAAAATATCACTCCGTCTCTGGCCACAGGACTAACGAGTTCAACTTCATTAAGTTGCCAACTTGATTTAATTTCTTTGGCGCAAATGTGTTCCGGTAGAGAAGTTGTGTCTGCACTGTGCGTCGGCGAATTAGAAATACTCCATCCAGAATTACAAAGTCGAATTTCAGACCAACAAGTAGTTGCAGCTGTGGATAGAGCGATTAACTGTTTGCCTTTAATAAATGACGGGGTAAACAGGACATACCTGTAGATTATTGTTTAAAAAAGGATAATCGTCACTTTGCTGATCATAAAATGGCAAATGGGAATTTATGCCTATATGGGCCTCGCAAAACCTCGACTCGTGTGTCAATTGGTATATGCCAACTTCATCATCTTTTCCTTGGCTATTTAACCAGAGATGTATATCCTTTTCTTGACTTGTTTTCTCCCATAAAGATCCTTCAAAAGAAGCTCTAAGATCAGACTTGGACCTTGGAAAAATCGTAATATCCATAGGTTGCTCGAAAATTGGCAAACAGAAAACGCTACAAGAAAAATCTATGTATTATATAACTAGTTAAACATTTTAGAGAACTCACCTTTTAAGAGGTTGCCTCAAGCTTTGATGTTTTATAAATTGCATAAAGTTTTTGGCCAAGTGCTTTGTGGGTAGAATATCAAGTTCTAAATTAAAAGTATAATAGGTTTTAGCATTCCAACGGGCCACATTCTTGAGAAGACTAGAGGGATATCTTGTATGAGTTTTCAACAAAAAAGAATCCTGTCTTCTAGGAGTTTCAAAAGGTACCCTGCACAGAGATCCAAAAGATCCACTAGCATCGATGTTGCGAAGATTCACGGGTACATGGTTTTGGGGTATGACCAAGTGGACAGAAACCCATCTCCTGAAACTGGATCTAGTAACCGTACAATACCTGAGGTAATTTAGCCTGGCCATAACCTTTTTAAAGTCGTTTTGAAACACAAAAACGGCAAGACTGATTGGAGCCTCCCAACGAACATTTAGCCATTCCAGATTCCTGAGATCCCTGTAGGTTCCATGAGAGGTCAACGTTATACTTTGATTATATCCTACGTTGTGGCTCTCTGCCCTGATAAAGTCTTGGTAGATCCAGTATTCTCCATTCTGCTGAAGAGGAAATCTTAGCTTTTCAAAATCCTTGAGGCGGTACGAGGGCTTGCGAGGGCTGAGCCAAAAATTAACTGCTAATATGACCAGAAATAGGCAAATAAAGCACTTTCCCAAAGTATGTCTGCTCCTTAAAAACATATTTATAATATTTTGGAAAGCTTTTTAATTACTGAATTATTTTTCAAGGAGTTCTTTCTTTGAATAATATTATTTATGTCATTTTTATAGTAAATTTAGCCAAAATCAATTTTCCTGCCCATAGTGCCTTGCCCGACATAGTTGCATGCCGCTATGTCATCATCCTGGCCATAAATCAAGCTTTCCATTAGCGGAGCCGCCACTGGAATGCCTATTTGCGGGACTCCGGATAATGGCCACATCAAGGTGATTTTTAATTTTTTTTTTCGTCCTCTACAGTTTTGTGCAGCTGCATTCCTTGTGACTTACAAGATTTTCTAATAATTTCAACGAACCAGGGATGCTATAATAAATTCATGTTGAAGGTGTCGAAAGAAATTATGTCTGCGTTTGGATATAAAAAAATCATCACGACCTATTAGACATATTACCGCTCCGGGCCGGCTCGTTTTGGGCATTTATGATTAACAATGAGCAAACATGCAAAGCTCGTTGTGGGGTTGGCTTGTCATTAAGACACCCCCCCATTGCCCAGCTAGCCCCAGGAATATTTCACCGGCAGAGGCGGATGGAGCCTTATTGGAAGCTTTCTTCCAGGCCTTCCGGTTCTGCCTGCCTAACAAACATTTGTCATTTCTGCCACCGACATGCCGGCCCATGCACATTGGCAAATAGTTGCCCCCCTTTTATAATACCCAGCACATCTTTAACTAAAAGTATACCCATTTTCTTCATTTTTTGATAAATAAGTGCCAATGTATATTATTTCTGGATCAGAACTTAAGTCTTTCCTAAAAAACTAAAATAGAAAAATACATTTTCTTATAAAATAGCAATTGTGGCTATGTAAGTACATATGTATTTATTGATAAACACAATCTTTTCCGCGGGAGTCTTCTAAAAAGACTTTAATAACAAGGAAGGGTACAAATTATAGGGTATTCTTAATCGAAACTACTAGTATCTACGTTTTTTTTTCACTGAGGGCTCGTTACGGCAGTCGTGGTAAGTGTGAAATTATAAATTGTTCAGAATTTATGAGCCAGCTCTTCACTTTTGCACCTACATATCGCAGGTAATATTACCTGGCCTTCCATCCACGTCTCGTGTTTAAAGAAGGCTGGAATGAGAAAATGGCTAATCTAGGTTGTTCATATTCCAGAATAAATATTGGCAAGAAGCTAAAGATTTTGATAAGGCATTAGATATTAAAGTTTAATTGAAATAACCCTCATTTTTTAAATAATTGTTAATAATTTCTCTAAGGAAAATCCATTCCAAATTTAATTTAATTAAAAATAGGTCCTTTTCCCTTATAAATTGTCTTGCTTCCGGTCCGACTTAAGACACTTCCCTTCCCTGGGTCCCTGCCGGTTTTGATGTTTTTTAATGAGCCGCAGGCTGAGATCCTTGCGCCTACTATTCACATAATTTATTAACGAGACTTTGAGCGTCAACTTCCGTTCCGCAAAGTGAGCCCGTCGAGACAATGTGAGAGTTCTCATGCATAATTAAACACGTAATTAACCATTATTATCAGCGTCTGATTTCAGCCAGCGCCCGGTGAGTCCTTGTCCAACCTGTAATGAGTTTGGAAAGAACTCTGTGGGTAAACTTTTTCCTGCTTTTTGTTGGGCAATCAGACAAGTCGGACCCATTTTGATTTGTGTCAGTAGCCATAGCCATAGCCGTTACTCGGACTGGGAAAATTACAGTTGCTAATGAACACTAATTAATTAGGGAGCTCGGCTCGGTAGCTCTGAAACGTGTCCCGTGGCAGGTGAAATAAAATACTCTCAGCCATGGATAGGCCAACAGGTCAATTTTGTTAGTTTAACTTATAATCTCCTGGTTATCTGAAATTATATGCTTGTATTATGCCCATAATTGTTAAATAAAAAGGTTTCTCTAAAAATCAAAATGCGTAAAATACTTAAAAATAACTTTTGGGTCAGGCTATTGACCTTCTAAAAACTCAACTCTCACATTTTATTAATTTTCTCGTATTTTTTCCTTATTTTTCGCCAGCTTTTTATTCAGCACCTTAATGGTCTCCCGCGGCGAACATCAAAGCTTTGTATGGGCTCTTCTGCCCCGACTTCTATGCCAGTTCCTTTTATCCCCGTTTACCCAACCAAATGGCTCATAATTTTCACAATTAGCAGACGACAAGCTGGCTAGGAATTTACATTTGGCGTGAACAGTAGGAGCCGCAGCACAAAAAATTAATTTTAAGCAATTTGTGAGCCAATAAATCTCCATGACGGGTTGCCTTGGAAATGAGCATTGAATACTTTCCCTGCAGAAAGTATTATATATTGTTACATGGGCACCAACAAAGGTAAAAAAAATTCGGTTTTAAAGTAAAATAAATTGTAGTTTTTAAAGACTTTGCATTACTTGCTTTAGAAGAATCTCTTGAATGATTTTCGCTCTTAAGTCTAGAGCACAAACCATTTTCCTAAACGGCTTCTCTTAAGTTTTTCCTGATCCTCCTTTTCATCGGAATGCAGTTTAAACTTTTTGCTGCATTGTTAACCACTCCTTGACCTTTACAGCTCAACCATAACTATCTTCCTATTAAAGTTTTGTTAAACTTTCACTATTCAGCAGCCCACTTATTCCTTTGGGTGTTGCCTCTAAGTCAGAGAAAGTATATATAAACGAATTTAATGAATAAGTTTAGTCGAAACCAGTAGATATAATAATCAAGCCATCACGGGAGTCGAAATGTATATTTAATTTTAATTAGAAAAGTTTTCCGTTTAAATTCAACTTGTAAAGGACATTTACTTGCGATTTTTGTTTCGCGGAACGAAAAATTGAAATAAAGCAAAAGTTTCTCCTGCAACGAGGGCAAAGGCGACGGCGGCGAATAAAAATCTAATGCTGCCCAGAATTTGAAGTCACTTTCCACAGATAGAAACTGTAAGAAAATTGAAAGTAAAATCCACCCAGGCTAAGTTTATAAAAGGATATTTAAAACAAGAAATGGAAGTGGAAACCAGAAATTAAAAACTAAATTTTGTTTAATACATAAATGAAAAGTGTTTAAAGAATTTTTATTTAATACGTCTAAAGTTCTGTCTTAAGCTATTGATTTAACAATTTCTTTATTGTATTTTTATCTTCCAGCTTTAGGTTTTTTTATTTCGATTACTGGAACTAGGAAGCTTATAGAAGCTATACAGAACTGGTTGAATATTAAACAAAAATTGCTTGTTTGGTTCAATATTCAAAAAATAAAAATATATGAGATAATCCTGATTCAATTTTAACAGACAATAGAAGGGAGTATTGAATTTTAAGAATTGCAAGAAATTTTCTAATAAAAGCCCAAACCTAGACAAACTGGCTTTAATTAAAATCGAAGTTCGCCTGGCTTGTCAGAGAAAATTATTTTTTATTCGATTAGCAGAAAGTCAGTCAATTTTCTAGGGGAGACTACACAGAAAAAAATAACGAAGAGATGCTGATACTTTTTAATAAATTTTGTTTTCTAGCGTTTATAATTTTGGTCTGTTTTATAGATAGCTTAGAAAAAGTTAAAACTCTACAGCAAGTTCTCTTTCTTATATTTTAGAGTGTGAAAAATTGCTTCAAGCCAAATACTGCTAGCCTGAACGTCCAACACAGGAGTATTGGACCATATTTGACATTGATTGACTAGGGAGCTTTTGGCCTGGCCAAATTCAGGTGTTAAAGCAGTCCTCTTGAAGTTAAATAAGATACATTCTGTCTGTGTTTTCGGTTTGTGGTTGTGTATTTTGGGCTTGGGGAGGAGCTAGACGGGTTTGAAACTAGTCAACGACTTTTAAAGTAATTGCAAGAAAAAACAAATGTGTTTGTGTAACAAAAAACACTTATGCCATTTTAAAATACTGATTAAATATAAAAAGGATAAGTAGTAACGACTTGTTAGAGGCCTTGGCTCAACAGCTCTCCATGGCTTTATATATTTTTGCTCTAGTTTGCCAGATTGTTCATATGTGCTCGGGCACTAATTTAATTAAAAAGAACTTAAAGCACTTTAACCAGTCGGCATGCAACACGCCACTTCCTTCTATATCCTTGTGTATCCTTGGCCAATTTGTTACGCTTTTAATTTGTTAATTCATTCGCTGGCTGGATGGCTGGCTGGTGAGCCCGAGAGCGTATCTCTTACAGTTCGTGCCACGGGCTAAGCATTTTATTGGCCAGAAACATTTTTTGCCCAACGTTTTGTGGCACTAACTGCAACAAGTGCAACAAGTCGACGTCGACCTGTCACACATGGATGCCCATTCCAGCCACCCCCTTACACCCCACCCGCCCACATCCAATGCAAACAAAAGCAGGCACACGTTTTTGCAGTCGCTTATCCTGTGTTTGATTTTGTTTGTTTTAACTGCTTTCACTTTGCCACATATTTACCTCCGTGTGCGTCTATGTGGGTGGGTGGGGTACGGGCCCTGCCTCAAATGAAAAATGGAAAACCCCTCTTTATTTGCTCTCCCAACATCCAGCCAGCCAACTCGCACGTTTAACCAGCAAGGGGCTTTGCATTTTATATTTCTTACTCTTAGGCCTCGACTTAATAAAGGTGAATGCAATCCATATGCCTGCACACTGTGTGCCTAATAAATTTTATATCTTTCTTGAAATATTAAAATTTCATATGAGGAAGGCGGGCGGCGGTTCTAAGAAACAGCAGGATGCCTAAAGCTTACTTTTATGTTTTACACAAACGTGTCTTAAAATTAAAGGGCAATCAAATAAGCGGCATCTAAGTAAAATATAAACCATCCCTTCTACCCATCCAATTATTTAACCTTAGACCCTTTTTTCACGAAACTATTTAAATAAACAATTCTTACACTTTCTTCCGTATTCCGTATTGTTTTTGTCGGCTAAAATAAATCTGGTTATCGAGACCTCAAAAGCCATCCTCCCATCGCACTATAGGCCGGATGACCACTTTTTCTGGCCAAAAACCCATTTTTCGAAAGTTCTTATAATTAAGATTTTA